TGTTATTAATCTCTAATCGGATCACAATATTTTTATAACGAATCATATCACCATGTGTATCTCAGTCATTTGATGACATTGACAATGATCCGAAATTAATTTATCATTTATCCAAGGCATATGTAGACAAAAGACGTAACGTAGTAAGAAAATGATCAAGTGTGATATACGGATTATTGTTTAGTATTCAATCGATTAGGTCCTTATTGTCCCAGATATGGAATTATTTTTTTAGGTCGACATTGGAGTACGCCTCGGTTATTGGTGGACGTACCTACCACTGACTGATATTGACATAATTGAGTCAGTGCAGCCATAACCTTCACAATCCTTTTGGTATACCTTGTCACATATAGTATACGATAATAATCTTTATTGGTTTGATGCGGCCACAGAGTCGTGCGATATTTTTAGGGAATACTTGTTGCGACCTTGACTAATAAGATTTTCTGCTTCGGTAATACGATGTTTTATATAAGCGACTAAATATGTATTTGTTACTTTGTGCACCTCAAGATTTTTATATGTGGTTCTGGTCATTTATCTATCTGATTATATCAATCTAGATATAGCAAACTAGGGTTTGTGATTGTCATAGTTGTCATTATGACTACCGCGATAATTATTATTCATTGATTCAAACAGACAACGTACAGCATTATATTTGTAGCGAAGATGTTTTTTTTTTTTTTTTTTTTTTTTTTTTTTTTTTTTTTTTTTTTTTTGTTAATAAATAAAACCATTCGACTTTTAACGAATGCAAGGCAATATTATGCTATGCCTAAAGTTAAACAATGTTTTACCAGGACCAAGACTATAATAATAAACAATTTGAAGCAAGCAAATATCAAAACATCGAGGAAAGTATGTTACCAAGCCAATGGTGTTTAGCAGTAACTTTGCTTGGCTCTAAAACGCATTAATCAGACTTGGATTCACGTAGGATAAAAAAACTCTATTAGCAATTTAATCAATTATTATAAGGGCAAGTCACGAGGTAAATAATTAAAATATAAAAAAAAATTATCTCTGCTCAAAATTGTTTGGCACTGGAACAAGGCAACACTTCTTATCTGCGCAATTGGAACGCACTACGACCTTCAGTTGCATTATATATGCAATCCTTCACCCACCTATCTTCGTCATAAATTAGCAAAATCTACATCGTGCTGTCGTGTAAAGATGTGCTTTTCATACGAACATCTGCGTAGCGAGCGCTTTATAAAACCAACGAGAACAGTCCAAGCTTCTTAGCACAATAAGTTTATATTTCAATTCTTTATCTTAGACCAGCTTTCCTTATAAAGCAAAATTTAGTAAAAATTAAAACTTGTTACCGTAGAAAAGCTTGTTTTTATAAAAAGCATTATATGGGAGCGAGCTCGAAAAGTGTTCCCATCACTTTCAAATTTCGATCTCCTGTAAATGCTACTTTCTATAAACTTTTGGTAAAAAATATTATAAAATACCAAATTTTTTTCATATAAAAGCCTTTCTTAAAACAACTTTATAGGGATAGTGTGCATAAAAATCATTCGATCTAATTAATTTTCGATAATTTAAATCAGAATATATCAACCTAACGAATTTCATGAAAATATCTTGAAAATTATGAACACAAAATTACGTGGAGAGACAGACATACTTGAATTCATTGAGGAAATGATTCGAAATCGATTGACTCATAAATATGTCATCACAGATCACAAGTTTTGTAGGGTACAATTACAATGTTTCATTGCTTTTGTTGACTTGGTGCAGTCTTTCGCGCTTGTGTCGATCGAAAGCGAAATTGACTTAATACTTAAATTCATCTTTGCTTCTAGCCCTGAGTTCGGCTGCTGACTGTACTACAAAACACAACCGTCAAGTATGCTTCCGTGGAAGAGCTTTAAGCAGAAGTTACACGTGGATATGAAATAAATTACATATAGCGGATCTTTTGCTGGGGGATAACAAATCCTTTAATATAAATTTACTCTTACTTGTCGACGAGACAATGTGGTTCAATTTAGTTTATCTACGCGCCCTTTGATTGCTGAACATTGCAAACAGATTTTAGAAACATTTGTAGCATCCTGCACAGTCAGTTTAAAAAACTGACATAATCTGTCCAAAGGTACTACCATTCAAAAAAAAAAAAAAAAAAAAAACAGACACAAAAAACCAAATCTTAAACTGTCGTCCAAAAAGTAAAAAAAAAAAAAGAAGAAATTAAATAACTATAACAAATAAAATTTTTAATTATTACGAATGTGAGTGAAGACGAGGGCCGGTTTCTTATTCGTGAATATTCATTAACAACACCGTAGACTGATTTCGTTTTTCGAATACACAAATTCGTACAGACATTATCTTTCTGTCAGCCAACTTCATATCAAGCATATTCTACCTAAGCGAGAGAATGCAAAGAGAGAATGCGTGCCTTGGTTTGATAAACATGTTGATAATTATAAGTTTTGACAATTCATATTTAACAGTTGTGAGATGTAGATCTGGACAAAATTAATAAAATGGAAAGATGTTTAATTAACTAAAAATTTTTTATGAAAAACAATCGTTCATTATTGCGTGCATACAAAGGGTGAGCGAGTGAGCGCGCGCGCGCTTTTACTCTTACTTTAAGTTAATACGAATTGGAAGATCACTACAATACATTCGGGGTAATTTTAAAAACACTCTTTCACCCCAAAAGTTCACAAGTTCAAAGCAACTTTTCGGGAAACCATGCGCAAAGTTTTACATCTATTGATATATGGACGGAAAGTGAATTCAATTCACTTCTGATATAAGAACGTTTTGCAATGCTCCACAAAATATGTAATCAAGCTGTTGGATCAAATGTAGTAAAACTTTCCGGCAAAAGCTCATGCATTTATTGTCGCTGGTATCTTCATTGCATCACAAATAGCATGAAAAATGGACTAAAACTGATATCGTATTATGTTATCGGCATGAACATTATTTTTGAAAATATTTAAAAAAAAAAAATATTGTAAAAGTAAAAAGCTGCAACGGATTGCATTCACTACTGACATCAATCAATAAGTCCCAGGATTAACAAATAGATGTCATCTCCAACAAAATCGTCCATATTATATTTGAAAAGTGACAACACTCATATGTGAAGGGCTGTTCAAATTTTATGCGACTTGCAGTGGCCTTCGTAAAGCTATTTTTCTTGCTTTCAAAATCATCGAAAAATCAAATTTTCTCGTATTGCTTTTGTATTGGGAAAGGCACCGTACAAACGCTGCAAAATTCTACGGTAACTCGTCTTCCTCGGAAACCGTTTCACTGCATTTCTGCTTTTAAAAGCCGGCCGTGCGGGCCCCGAATGATCGTGAGAACGGTTCGAGTGTTCACAAGAGATGCTTGCGTTAGGGATCATCAAAGAAAGTCTACAAATTGTTTTCGATAATTGAAACACAAATTCGCACAGGATAACTGGCATCCTAAGGATATCAAAAATTTGATCGTGAGAAAGCCATTTCCCAAACGCGTGACGCATGCCGTGTGACCATAATCGCCAAAAAACAATGAAGTTCGAATTGATGCCACAAACACACACCCACACACACACACACACACACACACACACACACACACACACACACAC